GCCTCACCACAGGGCTACTGCTCGTGTCCTTGCCATCTTTCTCTATGACACACTTTGTGGATGCAGGCAATGTATGTCATAGAGTGAAAGGCATTTTGGGAATCAGTTGTGTAGAGCAGCAGAGAAATTTGCTGCTGCTGCTGGCAGGGAGAATTGACCTCCATTTTTGCCACTGAATTTATCTTTTTTTTTTTTTTTTGTCTTCTGAATATGGGCTTCACTGTCAAAAAAGGGATGAAAGTTTCTCTCTAGCACTGGCAAACTCCAGTGTCAGTCTAGAGAACTGTGATTCTGAGAACTTCTTGCACTCCATCTGGTGCTCTGATCTCTCAGGTTCCTGTGTGTGCAATCAAGAAAGTAGGAATGGTGACCGGCAGCTGCCCTGGGTGCATTTCTTCCATGCTATTCCTCTGTGCATTCTGCTCCTCTCCCAAGTAATTTCCTGAACATGTAAATGTAACCAGATGTGTTCCAGACATGGCCTCCCCCAACATAGTTCTGTCAATGACTTTCAGTCCTGACCTGTACCATCTCAGTTATTTTTGTTCTTGGTTTTCACATACCTGCTATTTTTATCCTGACCTGGAACATGATTAGCTATTCCAGATTCCTCCCTCCTTTAGTATAGCTCTGCCAAAACATAGCCTGGGCTACAAAGCTTTGATTATACCCATGGTGAGGTCTGCATACTGCATTGGACAGAGTAAGATTGCAAAGACTTTCCTAATACCTGCTGTCTAAAAAGTGCTCTAAATTACAGCACTGTAAAATGTTCATGGAGCACTTCTGTACACAGCCAAGAACCTTGTCATTCAGCCCCACAGTTCTAGCTTTGCTATAACTAAATACTACCTCATTGGGGGGTGGCGGCCATCTGGGTAAGTTGGATTATCTCTTTCACAAAGGGCACATCCCTGGCTAGAGATCACACATGATGTACTTTAAAGCAGAAGGAAATATTTTTCCAGGAAGCTGGGGAAAGGGAATGGTCATAATCACACTTAAAATGAAAAGCAAAGTTGCATTATTTATGTACATCAGCCAATGACCATAGTTGCTCACATAAAGCACACAAATGTTTTCTCTACCCCAGCGAGAGGAAATTCAGGTGCACTAAGCCCCCCAGCCAGCTAATGTCATCACATGCCAGACTGATGAGAGGTCAGTCTGAGGCCAAACCTAGTGCACACCTTCAGATCCAGTAGGTGTCCCCAGCTGTGGTGCACTGGATTAGGTCCCAGTATAGCTCTGGATCAGTCTGGTGTATGGGATTGGACCTAGCATGCAGCCCCAGCATATGGCTCTGATGCACCAGATGTCACTGGTATACAAAGTCAGTCCACAGATAGACCTAATGGATGGCCCTAGACCCAGAGACTCAAGTATTTACCCATATGCCAAGACAAGATCCTGGGGTTTTCCAAAAACAAGGCAAATGTTATATTAAGGGGCATGCCATGTGCAAGAAAATACTGTACAACAGCATGTAATTCTTGTAGTGTTCTCTTTTATGCTGCCACCTGCTGGCTGGGCATGGTAACTAGTCACATTGACCATGAATCAAGTTAGTTGTTCAATAAATTCCAAGATCACAGAACCAGCTGCATGGATGGCTGACTGAGTATACCTCATTATTTACTTTCCCAGTGACACTTTACAAACATGTATTAGCCACTGTAGTTTCTGGGTTGTAACTTGGATTGTAAAGCACTGCCCAAATTCAAATGAGGTTTTTAATGCAAAGCCTGGCTTTAAGTATAGTTGTATATATACATATATAGCCATATATATATATATATATATATATATATGGTTATATTTATTTAATTATTTGTTGCACCTAATAGATGGAGTGAAATACCTCCAATCTGCTATTGATTTCCAATGAAGAGCAGTCCGTTGAATCAGATGAGAACAATTTGCCAGCTGTTGTAGAGCGATAAATATTAGTCCCCAAATGTCATGTTTCTTTACATGCTTCCCTGGAAGGAGCTGTCAGTAGTTTCATCTGGTGGCTGGTTCTAAAACCTAGTCAACAGTAGGGCTCCCCTGGGGACATGGCACCTGTGAACAACAATTAAGCAGTCCATCTACAGAGCATGCCCAGAGGAATGCAATAGGACAGGTTATCAAGCCAGGCCGCCAAGTCGCATCAGTCACTTTTCTTTAGTTTGCAACAGAGAAATTCCCATGGCTTCTTAGCCAGCATGGATACAGTAGAGGGAAAATATTCAGGGTGGATGAGAGAAGGAGAAAAAGAAGACCCTGTGTTGTATGAGAAATGAGGCTCTTATTTATTTCTCCTGTCATGAACCAGTGATTTAAGCAGTCCACCAGGCAGACAGGATGAAAGATGACTTGAGGGGTGTGACAGCAGCTTCATAATTGCTTATCAATCATTATAAAAAATACTATTCAATGTCTGATGAAGGTCTTTTTAAAGTTTGGTCCTTAATTTATTGCAGTTTTCAGCTTGATGCTGTGGGAGATCTGTAATAATACACGCTTCTCTTCCATAAGCTCTGTTCCATTCTGTCTAGAATCTTGCAATGTACTGAAAGCATCTTTGTCACAAGATTAAATAATCTAAGTAAGTTGTCTGTTCAGATCTCTCCCTCACATGCACACTTCTTTTTTACGTAGCCTGGCTGTCTCTTATGTGAATTTGTACCTACAACGGGAGCAAGTTCCCTGCCGTTCCTACAGCCCTTCTGCACTTGTAAAGCTGGACTTCAGAGGTGTGACGTGATGCCTGAGTGCCCTGGGTGGCAGCGCTGTACAAAGTAGTGGAACAGTGATGGCTGGCCTGACAGTGCAGCCATCTATATTTTTCACCTCCCCTCCTCTGCCCTTTTCAGGTTTGATAGCCGGAGGTGATGCCCCAGCTACTCCAGTTTGTTATGTCAATGTGGGATTTACAGGCCTCCTGCGGATTCTGCCCATTCACAACCTTGTCTTTGCAGGTTCTTAGTGTGGATGGTATGGCCAATAGGGGAAAGACAGTGTGTTGTCAGCTGTGGCAGGCCCTAGCTATACAACTGCCACCTAATGCTTGACACTGGGTGCTGTGCAATTAATGGGTGCATCTACATGAGATGGTTACTGTGCAGTAGGATAATTAGCTGTGCAGTTAATGTTTCAATGTTTACACTTGCACCCCTATTAGCCTGCAGTAAATTGATTTACTCTACACCAGGGTATTACTTGTAAATATAAGCACTATCCTGCTGCAGAGAAGAAACAAAAAGTCCACAGCAGCTCATGTATAGACACTCTCCTAGATGGCTGGGGCATGAGGGTGCTTCGATGCAGGGGTTGCTTACCTGTTAGCCGCACCCTGAAACACCCTAATGCCCCAGCCAGCCCCTCTGCAGCATGTTAAGATGGGGGGAGCAGCCCCAGGCTGGCAAGCTGACCCTCCCCTCCCCCCCGCGAAGGTTCCCTGCCAGGTGGGGCCAGTCTGACTCAACATGCTGCGGTCCTGGGCTCATGTTCAAATGGCAATAAACTCTGGGATTTATTGTTTTGTATTAATTGCATGTGTAGATGCACCCAATGTGGAGCAATAAAGTCTGGGGCAGTTTGAGCCAGAGTAAACTACTTCCAGTGCAGCATCTATATGTGCACCTGGGGTGGGGGGGAGGGGTCAGTCCCAGGATTTGGGTGGTGGTGTCAGGTGGTG